ATTTGAAATTTTAAAACTGTTTTGCTATGCTTTTAGGCCATGTGTCCTTCCTTCCAAATGATGTCAATGGACTATAATAGAGTATGAAATGTGGTACATTGTTTTGCTATGCTTTTGGGCCATGTGTCCTTCCTTCCAAATGATGTCAATGGACTATGAAATGTGGTACATTGGACCACTTTTTGATTAAAGGATAAAATGTACACGGGTTACACGTGTGAGTTATAATCCCGGTTAAAGGGGATGTTATTGACGTGACGTCGAGTTGTGTGACAAACACAGGTATTTCTGCGGGTTGACGGATGGTCAATGGTTAATAAAAGACTCCCAATTTTAGGGGCGTCACAGACAAATCCTTCCTAGAATTATGGTATACCAACCCTCAGTCTTGACTGCCGTGAACGAATAGGGTTTAGAACCCTGTGAGGAACCCAATCACTATGATTGATAGGAAACCATTATACCCCTCAAGGTCCCATACAATGTCTAAACACTCAACGATATTTGGTCGAATCAACCACCCATACAAGAGATAATATTTCAACCAATTTATTAAATCACGTGTAACCCAAATCATCATAATTTCACAAATGTTTTTGTTTTTACATGGTATAGTTCAAGAAAACATACAAGAGATCATCATGAAACATAATTTTATTGTTCAAAATCAAATACTAGAATTTTGGACATCAAGAACATGCAAATATCATGCTGAAAGCCTATACTTCTTAAAAATTAGGGTTTTGAAAACAAAAACGATACTTTCATAGTTATCAAACGATAATCCCATTCAAAACATGATAAAACTACAAAAAAATACAATTTAAGGATTACCTATCATATACATACTATTTAGAGTGGAAAACATATATATTAACTCTAGTCTCAATGAACAAGTTTAGGAAGAAGCTCCTACCTTTGATCCTTAGTTTGACACAAACCCTAACATGTTCAATCCATCTTCTATGTGAAATCTCTCCAAATTTTGTTTTCTATCATTCTCTCTCACTTGTAGGGTTTTCTAGGGTTTTAAATTGATAAAATATGGCTAAGGATGCACCCTTAAGTATTTATAGGGTCACCTGCTAAATAGGAATCGTGAGTCAAATGTCGTGAACTCCCAATGTCTCATTTTCTGCCAAAAAATCTCTGTTCGAACGTGCCTGTTGTTCGAACATGACTTGTTCCCAGTATCTAATTTTTATCCTCTATCAACTTCTCCCTAATTCATGATTTATACATGCAACACATAAATTATTATCTATATATCTATGAATAAATGGAGTTTTACATCCTCGAAATTCTCTCCCTACTTTTTATTTTTGCCTCTTAAAAACATAAAGGTAAAGGTTATAACTGAGAGAACTAGGAAGTGTATTTATTTATAGGATATAGTAGAGACCCTAAGGAGAAATAAGGATCGGACTTCTAATGGGCCTTTAAATCCTAAATCTAGTCCAGAACAAATATCCTACAATCCATTAATAATAAATTATTCTACTAAAAATTTATTATTGATCTCCCATACATTATCTCAAAATTATATTTTGAATTTTTTATTATTATATTTTTAATAATCTCTCCACGTTTAAGATTACAGATGTCTGTCAATTAATTAAATTATTGACAATTATATTTAATTGACTTTTTTTTATCTTTGAGATCTTACTACTCAACTTATTTGTCATGTCGGATAATTAAATTCACCTGTAGGGTTTGACATTGACAAAACTTATATACTTGTCAATTAAATATCTAAGAATGAAAAGGTTAAGCAATCGTAATAGCAATGAGATATTTATTTTCTTATTTAGTCAATAAAAAATATAATCTTAATAATGGTCATGTCCAATACACAAAGTATACTAGTTCAACAATCCGATACATCAGACAGTCTTTTATAGCCAATACAAACTATGTTAGAAGCTTGTACTACAATCCTACTGATGGTGCGTCTAATTTCATTTAAGATTGTGAATTTTTATTGAGATCATATAAGGAACGCTACATACCAGATTATCTACAATGTAAAATAAAAGGCATACATGCATATCATATATTTAATATAATACAAATATTTTAACTATACAGATTATCAATAGAAAATGAAAAAATTTTATTAAATAATAAACTGAGTTTCGTTACAAAATGTAAGCTTTTAGTAAATAACTTTGTAAGTGTAGGTTGTAGATTATGTTAAAAACAAGTTAGTATAATACTGGAACCGATAACATTATTAAGACTTTGAGCAACTCCAAGGAGGTTATGTAAACTAGCTAGCAAAAATATTTTTTTTTTATTATATTATCTACTTTAGCTAACCATATTTTCAAATTCACTCTAACCACACTATCTATTTTAACTAATCACTTTAACTAGCTTTAACTAACTATAATAAAATTCCCAAAATGCGGACTGCCAATTGGTGAACATAGACTTGAGAGTTCTATAATAAAATCCCCAAAGTCCAAAACAAATTACATGTATTGGTGAACCATTACAAATCAGAAGCAAGACATACAGATTCTACAAAATTAGAACAACAAAGTCAAAATACAAAGTTAAAAAATTATAAGTTATCAACAAAACAACTCAAAGAACATAAAATCACTAACAAATCGGCCCTCACATTGACACCAAAAAAAAAAGATTTCAACTTCCATAAACCAAAAATAGAAAGAATCCATTAAGACCAACGAAAATGTATCACATTCGCCAATCTATCAACCAAATAATATAAGAAATCGTGAATTATGCTCAAAAACTCTCACCCAAACCCCACATAAGTCAAAGCATCAAACCAACATAAAGACACACACCCATCCTCCAACATCACAACCAGAAGGGAAAAAAAAAGAAATTAATGAAGAGACAAGAGAGAGAAAAACTACATGCATATATATATCTTGCATATATCTTATATATTTTTAAAGGCAATTCCAAAACCAGGCGATCGAAGTTTGAAATCGAAAACCCAAAACCAGTCCTTCAAATCAGTCCATCGAAGTCTGAATCAATCCATTGAAAATCGAAAATCAAAGTCTGATGAGGGATGAAGATGATGAAGCCTTCAGGGGAATGATTCAAACGATGAAGCCTTCTTAAGACAATGAAACGATGAAGCCTGCTTCTGTGATGTGTTGTTGGCGCAAAAATCAGAGTAGCTAGCTTCTTTGCCCTAGCCAGGAGTAGCTAGCCATATGGTGGTAATGGAAAATAGCTAGCGTGATAGCTAGTCCTTGGAGCCAATATTTAAGAATTGGCTATTTAAAATAGCTAAAATGGGTGTTTTATGGAGTCCCTTGGAGTTACTCTTATAAAGCTGACTTAATAACCTAATGTAACATGATTTAATGACATTAATATTGTTAAATCATATTAGGGATTATTTAATCTCGTGGCATTGCTATTTTCGAATTAATAGGAGCTGTAAATTTAAACGTCATAAATTTTTATTCGTAATAACTTCTTGGAGTTAGACTCTAAAAGTTGTATTCTTTATGAATATCTTAATCTTTATGTAAATGATTTATCTTTAATCAAATATGAGAGAAAATTAATAAACATACGCGTAAATTAATACGAACATCGACTATTAAATAAAAAAAATTATAATTAATTGGCCCAAAATCTTACATGCAAAAGGCACGTCTGCAAAGCGGTGCCTATGTCTTTAATGAAGGCAATACAATAGCTGTCTTACACGGAATGCCACCTTTGGGGAACGGGAAAAAAGAGCGTTTTGCAGCGGCGTAACACGTCAAAGAGCACTTCTCACAATGGAGAGGCAGGTGGACAGGCCATTCGTCATGTGTGACCCTTCTCGCAATCTCTTTCCTCTCTATAAATCCACAGAAGAAACAGAAGAGACACTAGCAAACAGGGCGGTGTCCTACTGTCCATCACTTACAGTTACACCACCACCACCACCACCACCCCCCCCCCCCCCCCCCCCCCCCCCCCCCCCCCCCCCCCCCCCCCCCCCCCCCCCCCCCCCCCCCCCCCCCCCCCCCCCCCCCCCCCCCCCCCCCCCCCCCCCCCCCCCCCCCCCCCCCCCCCCCCCCCCCCCCCCCCCCCCCCCCCCCCCCCCCCCCCCCCCCCCCCCCCCCCCCCCCCCCCCCCCCCCCCCCCCCCCCCCCCCCCCCCCCCCCCCCCCCCCCCCCCCCCCCCCCCCCCCCCCCCCCCCCCCCCCCCCCCCCCCCCCCCCCCCCCCCCCCCCCCCCCCCCCCCCCCCCCCCCCCCCCCCCCCCCCCCCCCCCCCCCCCCCCCCCCCCCCCCCCCCCCCCCCCCCCCCCCCCCCCCCCCCCCCCCCCCCCCCCCCCCCCCCCCCCCCCCCCCCCCCCCCCCCCCCCCCCCCCCCCCCCCCCCCCCCCCCCCCCCCCCCCCCCCCCCCCCCCCCCCCCCCCCCCCCCCCCCCCCCCCCCCCCCCCCCCCCCCCCCCCCCCCCCCCCCCCCCCCCCCCCCCCCCCCCCCCCCCCCCCCCCCCCCCCCCCCCCCCCCCCCCCCCCCCCCCCCCCCCCCCCCCCCCCCCCCCCCCCCCCCCCCCCCCCCCCCCCCCCCCCCCCCCCCCCCCCCCCCCCCCCCCCCCCCCCCCCCCCCCCCCCCCCCCCCCCCCCCCCCCCCCCCCCCCCCCCCCCCCCCCCCCCCCCCCCCCCCCCCCCCCCCCCCCCCCCCCCCCCCCCCCCCCCCCCCCCCCCCCCCCCCCCCCCCCCCCCCCCCCCCCCCCCCCCCCCCCCCCCCCCCCCCCCCCCCCCCCCCCCCCCCCCCCCCCCCCCCCCCCCCCCCCCCCCCCCCCCCCCCCCCCCCCCCCCCCCCCCCCCCCCCCCCCCCCCCCCCCCCCCCCCCCCCCCCCCCCCCCCCCCCCCCCCCCCCCCCCCCCCCCCCCCCCCCCCCCCCCCCCCCCCCCCCCCCCCCCCCCCCCCCCCCCCCCCCCCCCCCCCCC